GGACCGGGGGGATCCGGGGAGGGAGGGGGATGTCCGGGAACGGCCCCTTTAACCACCTCCGTCCCGCCCGCACTAAACGAAAGAGGAAGAGGCGCCCGCCCCGCCCCGAGAGGCTCCGGCATCGGCGAGCAGGGCTGGGGTCGGGGTGACGGTGGGGGTGAGGAGCCTGGGGGTGCTGAGCCCAGAAGTGCAGTTCTGGAGACTTGCAAAGCTGGGTAGGGGGTGCGGGATTCAGGGATGCAGGATCTGAAGGTGTAGGGGTGCAGAACACAGGGGTGTAAACCATGAGTGCAGGATCTGGGGGTGCAGAGCACAGAGGTTTAGGGCTTAGGGTTGCCGTGTGCATGGGTACACGGTGCTGGATGTAGGGGTGCAAAGGCTGGGGGTGCTGGGCATGAGGGTGCACGGTCTGTGTGTACAGGATACGGGAGTGCAAAACATATGGGTGCAAGACTTGGGGTGCCAACAGGGTCCCCTCCACCCTGACATCATCCAGGGCGCCCCAGAAGCACCAATGGAGAAGGACATCGATGGCTGCCAGGATGGGGCTAAGACAGTGCCAAACGCCAGGCTGGGCCCTGAAGGGACAGAGACACAGGTGAGTCCAGTGGGACACCCATTGGGAGGGAACCAGGCCCATGGTGGCCATCACCAAGGGCTGACAGCTGGAATCGCCCACAGCTGGACGATTTTGTGGGTGCTCACCCTGACTACAATGAAGAGGAGGAAGAGCAGAAGTACTTTCGCCGCAAGCGCCTCGGTGTCATCAAGAATGTGGTGGCCGCCAGCCTGGCTGGCACCCTCACTTACAGTGTCTACCTGGGTAAGGGACCTCCCAGGGATCCCCAAAATAACTTGGAGTGTTCAGGGTGATGTCACTTGGGGTGACCATCCCTGGACCCCCACAGGCCTGCTGCAGATGCAGCTGATCCTTCACTATGACGAGACCTACCGGGAGGTGAAGTACAGCAACATCCGGCTGGAGGACATCGACCACAAGGTGCTGATGGGCATCAATGTCACACCCGTGGCGGCACTGCTCTACACACCCATCCTTATCAGGTACAGCCCCGCCATGCTCCCGGCCGGCATGGCTCGCTGGCATAGCCACCCACACTTCCGCTCCTTGCCCTGGCAGGTTCTTCGGCACCAAGTGGGCCATGTTCCTGGCAGTCGGCGTCTATGCCCTCTTCGTCTCCAGCAACTACTGGGAGCGCTACTACACGCTGGTGCCCTCCGCAGTGGCCATCGGCATGGTCATCGTGCCCCTCTGGGCCTCCATGGGCACCTACATCACACGGTAGGCATCGGGGCGGGGGTGGGAGGGGGTTCAGGGGGTGCTGGCTGACGTGCTGCTCTACGCAGGATGGCCCAGAAGTACTATGAGTACGTTAACTACAAGGAGGAGCAGGAGAAGGAGAAGAAGCGGGCGCCGCGGGATGCCTGCAATGCCTACATTATCGTCTTCCAGACTGTCTTCTACTCCTGCTTCCACGTGAGCCCCGGTGGGGTGGCTGGGGTGGCTGGGATGGG